TTGCTTGCTCATCACAAACATAACTGGAGTTGCGTTTTGTTTCCTTCATTAGTTTAACATATAAACCCTGCAAATTAAACTTTGTTGTTCTCTCAAACAGAAAACACTCACTTCCACCTTGTGATGTCATGTGGTAATACAGGAAGTGCTTGACTGTGTTTTTAAACACCATACACATTCATTAGAATCATTTGGATGATTTCAGCCCTGGAATTTCCAATCTCCACTGAACTAAAGGTAAAAGGTAGCTCTTAACTTGAAAACAACCACTATATGACATCATAATGTGGAACGAGGCATTTTGAGCTTTGAAGACAAATTAATAATAAAAGGTTAGTCGAACATATGTGAATGAAACAAAACAAAACTCCGGGTATGTTTTTGATGAGGTAACATGTCTTAAAGCTCACAAGAATTCATTTTGTGAAATATTCAAATCTAAATTTGAAGACATTTTTTTGCATTCATGTATACAGCGAGTCATTATAAAGATCCACTATTTTCTTCTTTTTTTTTTTTTTTTTTTTTTTTTTTTTTGGAGGAGAGACCAGCACCATCTATATCACTGTGGAGATGTTACTGATGTGCCTTGAATGTATCTATCACGAAGGAGACAAGCAAGTGACACCACCAGGCCAGATTGCAGGTCAGATCTGTGGAGCAAGAATGCATTTTTTTAAAGGTATTTCTATACACAAAACTGCTGACTGAATAAAAGCAATATGGAGCAGTTTAATATTGTTACTGTGGAACATTCCAGGATAGCAGTCATCTACCCACAGTGACCATGGAGACAAACAAGCAGCAGTGGCAAACCCTTCACCAGCAAAGTTATACATAGCTCACCTTTATGTTAGCCTGAAGTCAGTTGCCTTGATTTGAATAGATATATGTAGATATGTTTTCTTGCTGGTATTGTCCATAAGGAATCTTCAATAATTATCACCATAATTATTGTTCACATTAGACGTGGTTTGATACAGGTTTGAACACTGAAATATATTGGTTAGGTCCTGTAATATTGCTAGTATGTTCCAGGTTTGGTTCCAAAGTTCTCATCATAACATTCTATAGACCAATATTATTTAATACAGATGGAGGCAGCTAAATGACTATTGTTAGAATGCATTTTGTTATTATAGTGAGTTCTTGGGTCTAGTCATTAATAGAAATGATCAAGTTCGACATTAGTGAATTTACCTTTTAGATATTTCATGACTAAGTACAATGTAAACAATACAGAAAAGTGTCTCTTGTGTGTCCCCTGATCTGAGAAACTGAACTCCAATTCACGATGACAAAAGTCAGACTGTTGCAACTTAACCCATATACCATCTTTTTAATGATCATGTAATAAACTGCTTACACACAATTATTGTATTTGGTGTAAGCAGGTTTTGCATCAACTAAGAACCAATTACAAAATCATTAATGTGTTGTATTGACACTAACCAATTTCAATGCACATGATATTGCATTACATATACTTACATGTACTGATATCAATGCATCAACTGTTTAGTGTAATGTTATGATAATCCAGCAACTGTACAGAATTTAGATATACACAGCCATTGGATAACATTAAAGCCTACCCCAATTGAAAGATTAATCACAGAACAAACTACTGCCTGTTTCCAACCAGCAACAACCTATTATTAGGAAAAAAAATACAACAGGCTTTATACTGATTGTCAAGACTTCAGTGGCTGGTGTAAAGCTATTGTTTAGTACTTGTCCAGATTGTGTGTAAAACGGCATGCTGGTGGAGAATGGAAGGACTCAAGGAGGACAGGATAGAGGGAAGAAGAGATGGAGATAGATAGATAGATAGAACGAACATAGGCTATAGAATATATAGTGTCCTCCCATCCACTGAAAACTGCTCTGTCAGCTGTATGCAGTAAACATGTGGCTCTATCAGTAAGTATCATCATCCATCTATTTTTACACAAGCTTTTATGCTGTGAATCTATTTGGCTCAACACCAGACCAAAATGCAAGTAGCCTATATCTGAAAGAATATTGGACAGATAGTACATGCTTATGTCAGTTGCAATTCATTTTGTATACATTTTGTGTATTTTTAACATTATTCGAACTATTTCCTTTATTCTAGTTTGATTGGTGATATTTAAATATATTTTGAATAGTTATTTATCTTAACTGTATTCTAGTCTATATATGTTCTATAATAATTTAAAGGTCCTCTTACACAGAATAGTAATAGTATTAGTAGAGGCAATTTCAGGGCTGAAATGATCTAAATGATTCTACTGAATGTGTATGGGGAGTATTTTATGTCTGAAAAAAGAACACAACTTAAACATGCAGGGTTTGTGTGTTAAGCATTTTTGAATGAAGCATAACACAACTCCAGGTATGTTTTTGATGAGGAAACAACATTATAAATAGATCAGAAAATAGCCTAATTTGGTCCTTTTAATTTGAAGACACACTATGCATGTGGGACATCTGTTAAAGGCTTTTTCTCTAGTATGTAACATAAGCTATTCAGTTTCATTAAAAGGCACATTTTAGTGGCCAGGTCTGGTAATTTTGTCATCAGTAGCTCGTTCTCCACTGGGAGGCAGCAGTCCCTTCACAAAGCAGTGGGAGACTCAGTGTTCCTGGTTTGTTCTGTTTTTAGAGCCATCTGGAGTTCACATTTACCACACACACTGAATGCAGCACCAACATCACAGACTGGTGTTCTGGGGTTAGGAAAACATTAGCTTCAAACACATGTCCTTCTCAACATACAAGACTGATTTCTCTCCAGCCAAACTGTTAGCAACACTTGGATTAGTCCTAAAATGGCTGGCTCAATTTTTTTCAAAATTCATATGTATAAAACTCAACTAATGTGCAGCAGACATGGTCAAATCTAAAGTCTCTTTATATGTAATGGTTTCAAATTTTTGTATAATTGTTTAGCATAACAAAGTATCAGAAGTGTACATTCTGTGAATCTTCTGTCTTTACCATATCTATTGAAAATTATCTGTTATTTCACATGTCTATGATAGTTGACATGACATTTTGATTTGTTAAAGATAACATGAATAATGAAAAGCAATCCATCACAATACAATTTAGCAGGCTATATCAGGATTTGACAATTCTTAATACATAATCCAGAAGTGATTTCAACATATTAAACACAATTTGTCCATATCATGCCATCAGCAATAAACATACTCCTCAATAAATAATACAACATTGCTATTACAACAAGAGGTTATTTCAGGAACAAGGTGGAACATATAATTTTGCCCCTCCCTTCTCCATATGGTAAGGCTGGACTGCTGTCACACTCACTGGTGAAGCATTCAGATTTGAAATGTATTCTTAAAAATGCTCTCTTTAAATAATTTGATACCCATTATAGTCCTTCGCCTATAGCCACATAGGGAGAGGGGTAGTGAGTGGGTGGGATAGGGGGTCCAACAGCCTGTTTACAGTAATATGTGACTCATGCTGACTCTGCCTGGTGTTGACTTTGGGGCTATGTGTTCATTGTCAGAAGCACAGCGCTGGCATCATTTACTGTTACAATATATGCAAAGTTTAGTTATCTTTCTGTGCTTTTCTGTCAATGGACACATAAGCCAGAGTTTAAAGTGAGGAGACAAAAAATCATGTTAAATTAGTGACCCATGCAACAACCACCATCATCAGCAGTAAGCCTTACCCTGTCGTTCACTATGAGACACTTTGCAAAGGAGGAGACAGACATTGGACACAGGGTTAGTCAAGAGGATCACGCTATAGAGAACTAGCACACACCTCTTTGAAGGAGATGCTATGGTTTCAACAAATATGGAAAATGTATAATTGTAGGGTAAAAATACATTCAAATAAAAATGAAAAACAGGTCAAGCTTATTTGTAATTATATGTGAAACAAAAAATGCCTACTGTATCCCATGAACAAAAATGAAATTGTACTGTATTGTATGTATGATTTTTTCCCCTCCATACAATATATTGTAAAAACAGCTATAGGTGAAATAAAATCAGATTGAATGATATTGCCAGTGGAGCTTAACAGTCAACAGAACCCAATGATGCTTTTTTTTCTTTTAATGTTCTCAAAAAATTAATATATTAGCTTTGTGGTAACTAATGTCCATGACACAATTATTTTTAGTTCAAAAGACATATTAAAGATTAAATTTGCCTAAGTGCCATACTAACTTTGAAGTTTAAAAAGTTACAGAAACACATTATTAATCAAATGATGTGTAGTTCATTATTGTTTAGAATTATTGTTTAATTATTGTTCAGAACATCTATGGGGAAAAATGAATGGGAAATTTTCTTCCAGTACTTCATGGTGGGTGTCTGCTGTTAATCTCCATACATTTTTCATTTGCGTCATGTTGGATGAGAATCACGAGGAACCAAAGACCAGTCAGAGACGTTGTTTGGTGAAAATCATGTGGAAACAACTGCCTGTGATACTAGACAATTGTTTCTCTGTTATGGTTCAACAAGAGTGAGACAAGGGACAAAGTTCATTCTGAAACACTTATGGTTCAAAATGGAATGATGGTTAGATAACACAGTTCATGTTTTAGTGCTGGTAACCACGGGATACCAATCGAAGACACATAAATAGACTTCACATTCACATTGACATTTTTTTCTATTTGTAGATCAAGTGGCCTCTCCTAAAAAGGGGCGTGTCTTTCTTTCTCTATACTCTCAAGACACTGTGCCTGAGACAATCCCATGCACCTCAGAAAACCAAAGCTCTTAACAAGCGCTGTATAAACTACTCTCCATTCAGACTGATCTATACACACTGGCTCTGCTCCAGTCACACTCTCTCGTCTTCACTTCTCATGACATGACACATTTGAACAGGGTCAAAAATACACTGTAGAAGCCAGAGGACCAAAAACCTCTGCTCCCATTTGGAATGCAGCCAGTGTTGTTATAGTTAGCGGACAAGGCACAGCACGTCACAGAAGAAAACACAAAAAAGATGCTAACCACTTTGTCCTCCTTTGTGGCATGCAGTCCAGGTAGCAGTTAGAGAAGTGAGGAAGAGGAGGAGCAGGAGAGGAAGGCATGTGAACCAAAGAGAGGTGCAAATGCAGGGAGGATGGACAAACAGGTGAAAAGAAAAAGAAAAAAGAGGTGCAAACAGTTGGTTAATTACATTGTGCAGACTTGAACAGACTTTTAATTAGTGTTAAAGCAGAGTGGATAGCAGCAGGGTGCAGCGACATGCATGACCCAGTAATGACATCAGTGTGACATCATCAGGGGTGTCAAGGTGCAACAATTTCAATATAGATTTTTAAAAAACAAGCACATATAATATATAAACTTAAAGCATTAAACATAAAATATTATGCAAATTTGATTCTGGTGAGCTTTAAGCCATGTTAGAATGTTGTTACCTCATCAAAAACATACCTGGAGTTGTGTTTTGTTTCATTCACACATATTTGACCTTTGACCAGTGTTATAAACTTGGACTGATATTTCTTAGTCTGTCTACATCTGAAAAGCTCCAAATCCTGTGTTCCACCTTGTGATGTCTTGTAGATGTCAAGTTAACAGCTCCTTTACCTTTAGTTTAGTAGAGATTAGCATTTCCAAGGCTGAAATTATCCAAATGATTCTAGTGAAGGTGTATGTAATTTAAAAACAGTGAATCACTTCCTGTATTACCACATGACATCACAAGGTGGAACAGAGTGTTTCCTGTTTGAGAGAAGAACTCAGCCTAAATATGCAGGATTTGTGTGTTAAACATGTGTGAATGAAACAAAACACAACCCCAGAGATGTTTGTGATGAGGAAACAACAATATAGCATGATATGGGCTCTTTAAATAATGTAAGAAAACATTTGGTGCAGTTTTGACCATTCCAGTTCACACTAGTCTAATATCATGTAAGATGCACCTTTTCACCTATATTCTAATTTTCTGAGTGTGATCTACATCAAATAAGGCCAACATATACTTTTAGTTGTGCAGTTTGGATACAATGCGTAGATATTCTAGAACCTCATTTCCTACATAGCCTTGTGTTGGAGACGTGTGGAGACACCTTTTTAAATATTCCATCCAGTCCTTGTATTTGCAGAGGTCGCTGGTGCTAGGCTAGTGCATATCAATGGCCATAGTTAGCCTGCCACTAAAAACCCACTCCACAAAGCGACCAAAGCAAATCTATTGTTACGCCAGACTATTGATGTAAATGTCTGTGTTGATAAAATAATGTTTGAAATAAATCTAACCTTGCGTTGCATGAATCTTCACATGTTGAGGGACTATTTTTTCATATATCAGTCCACCGCTGCCAAGCTTTCTATCAGGAAGTACAACTCGCTGCTGCTCAGACATAAATCCTTCAAATGCAAGGTTGGTTTTACTTCTAAAATGATTCTGATTGACATTCAGTCTGGCATTATAATTGTTTTGCCTTGGGTGCTTTGTGGATTGGGTAAGATTGTTTTTAGTGGCAGGCTAACTAAGGCCATTGACATGCACTAGCCTAGCACCAGCGACCTCTGCAAATGCAAAGACTGGAGGGAATATTTAAAAAAGTGTCTTCACACGTCTCAACACTCTGGCTATCTAGGAAATGAGGTCCTATGTCCAAAATTCCAAACTGTTCCTTCAATGAGACTCGTCACAAAATAAATGAAGAGTAAAGTCATAGCCTATAACAACAGCCTAAGTATGCATGCCCACCAAAACAGAACATAAAATAATAAAAAAATATATACAAACATGCAAAGGAGTGAAACATGCATGAGAAGCTAAAGCATTTATGATGATCTGAGGTAATCTTTTGTAATGGTTGTTATGGACTATTCAAAGGACTTTTCAAATAATAAAGGGAATTTGTTTTGCCAATGTGCAGATCATTTTTAAAAGCAGCTCTTTATAGGGTAAAAATGAAACTGACCTATTAACCAGTTAACCAAAAACCAGGAAGTAAGGCTGGTACACTATAAGAATTGTAGTTGTTGTTAACATTACCGTGACGACCACTTCACCCTAGTGGCTGAAAGTTCTGTAAAGAGATTAATAACTTATGAATAATTAGGATGCAGTAAATATGTTTGGAAAGTACGGACTAAGTCACGAAGTGAGGACTTAGTCAGGACCACTACAAACCATTTAAAATGAAGGATAGATGTTTGTCTGTTTAATTCATAAGAGGCACTAATTATCTGGTGTTTTGTCCTGGTCTGTGAGCTGTGCCTACATTTGGTCACAGTTTGAGCTGAGAATGATCTGAAGGCGGAGCATTCTGAACAGATTGGGCAGCAGCAGGCCGTGGTGGAGGTTAGCGTCAGGTATGAGAGAGAGAGAGGCTGGAGAGGAGCCCAGAGAGAGGCAGGCCTAAAATAACACAACACACGGGCTTTATGGACACCTGCCACAGATTGGAACAGAGCTGCCAGGGGGCTAAAATATACTTCTGTACTGAAGAGATGACGGGTTAGCTCAAAAGTTTGTTATTGTTGGGAATAGTTGTTTCTTCAAAGATGATATATATATATATATATATATATATATATATATATATATATATATATATATATATATATATATATATATATATATAATAGGGCTGGGCAAAAATAACAATTTTTTATTGCGATTAATTGCATGAGTTCGAGCAATTAATGGCGATTAATCGCATGTTATACGCAAAACCAATTAATGAATTAAAAAGTAGACTTTTATTGGAAATGTAAATGAAAGAGCCATACATTTGTTGTGCAAACAGCATTTCTTTCACAGGGGAACCTCAGAGCCTTCAAGGTGTTCAGGGAAGGCTCAAGAAAAAATATTGAATGGACGTTTGTACTACTAATATATTTATTGAATATTTTTTATGCTGTGAGTAATGAACACTACACTAGTAATAATTTCTAGATCAGTGTTATAAACTTGGACTGATATTTCTTAGGAAACAAAGAGTTAATATAATGGAATGGAAATGGACCAATCACATTTTTTCTTCCAATGGTATCTGGGTCAATCAATTACTACAGCACTGAACTAAAGAAATAAGCTCAGCTCAGAGCGCACGGCTGGTCCGGCCAGAGCCGGTGCCCGGGGCTGAACAAACGACTGAACCCGCGGCTGAGTCCGCGGCCGGAGCCGGAGCCCGCGGCCAAACTCGCGGCTCGCGGAGGCTCTGGCACGTTGAGTGAAAAAAGTGTAAAGAAAAGACGTCAAAACTTAAAGAAACGCTCGCGGTGGACTTTTTCCAAAATAAAAGCCAGTGAGAAACAGACGTTTACAATAAAATAAATAAATAAATAATAAAAACTGCGTTAACGGCGTTAAAATAATTGTCATCGTTAATGACTTAATTAGTTAACGCAAAGTTAACGCGTTAACGTGCCCAGCCCTAATATATAATAAGAAGCATGTCAATTGTAATTGGAGCCTGTTCTGTAGACCCTTGGGTTACACTTCATTTTATAACAGCTAGCTTCACTTTAACTGGTCTTTATAAAACATAAAAAAAGTAAGTAGTTATAAAGCCAGTTTAATCAAAACTTGGGAAAGATAGATAATATCAAAAGCTATTTTGGCTTTATAAAACAATAGAAATAAATAATTGATATTGTTTTGAATTAACACATTTGAATTGAAACAGGTAATTGGAGACAATCCTGGGGACTAGCAGAATTAATGGAGTACCTTCTAATTAGAGTAAGGATTAACTGTAACTGTAGGTATGAATAAAATCCTGTCACTCCAATGACTCATCCTTCATTAACATTAGGGTGAAACATTGGCACCCACGGACCCCAAAGAGCCAGCGTGGTGGACAGAAGAACCTACGTTTTCCTTCCTGTTGTGCATCTTTAATGACTATACACAATACTTTCACAATTACAATGCTCCTACAGGATCTATGGTTGTGCCAGGCATTTCTTCCAATACACTTTGCCCATGTGACCAAAGTGTTGAGAAGCACAGACAGTGACAGAAGCAGTGGTTTTAGTGCACAGGACTCAGAACTGTTCTCACATTGTTGGAGCGTAGAGAGACCCGTCCTCCACAGCGAGCACAGAACTTGGTCTGGCAGTACGAGCACAAGTGCCCACAGCCATTGGCGAATTTGGTCTTTCGGCAAATCCCACAGGTGGGCGCGTCATCTTTCTGCTGTGTCTGCTGCCTCCTAGTGTCCGCCCCGATGCGCCGCACTTCCTGTTTGTAGCTCTCAAACTGCTGGTGCAGCGTCCTGTCAGGAAAGAAGAGAGAGTGGTCAGAAATTTGTTTGATTAAAGCTACACTATGCAATTTTTCTCTCTGCAGATCTGACATGTTAACTTAGCCTGGTGCCATCACCTGCTTGTCTCCATGGAGAAAGATATGCTTAAGGCTATACAGTGGAATATTGCAGATGTCTCCATGGAAACAAGCAGGTGGCATGCCCTTAACCAGAAAGGATTCTTCATCATTTTACCAGGGTCATTTTTTAGAATGTTACTTTTAAGTTCGGCATGTGTTCTTTTCTTAACCTGTGTGATTGCTGTGAAATGATTGTGAAATGTGTGCTTGTGAAATTCATCTTTGACTTACCACCACATAAATCATTACAAAATCATTAAGCAGAAGACCTATTAAAACATACAAATTTGGTATATCTTCCAATAATATAGCTGCTTCTAATATTACTGATACTGTTGCTTCCAGTAATGATTGAATGACATCAAATCTGTAATGATTTGGATTGTCAGACTACCTGCCAAGATCACAAAATAAGTGACAAACATCGCTCATTATATACAGACACATCCAACTCCAAAACTCTTTGATCCACTTCAGCAACAGCGTTAGGTTGTCAAAGTCAACGTACCTCAGAATTTCTTGCGATAACAGTTGGGGACATTAAGAGATTTATGAATAACTGAATAAATAAGAAACAATTGAAACAACTTGCAAGCCAAATAACTAGCAATTAGAGAATGACTTGAATGCTGCCTTTCAAAACATCTAGACGCAATTAAGTGAAATTTCATCTCTGCTTCCCAGGATGCCGTGATAGAAATAACCACAGTGTGAATTGCAAATCAGTGCATGTGAAAACTCCCACTAACAGAGCTGTCAGAGGAAAACTGCATTAGCATTTCAGCGTTAGCATAGCTCTCCTACAGGGGCCCAGACAGCAGCTTTAATTACCCCACTTCATTCACAGCTCGGCAGTGGATCGCTCTATTTGTGGAAGCTAAAGATCTGAAGTTTGGTCTCTGGTGCAAACGGACTTAACAGACACATAGCTATTTTGGGGACTGAAAAAAGGCAACCAGATGTTTTACAGTTAAAGGTCCTGTATTATGCAAAATGTACCCTTGTGAGGTTAAAGCCATGTTATAATATTGTTACCTCCTCAAAAACATACCTGGAGTTGTGTTTTCATTTCACCTTGTGATGTCATGTAGTGGTAGTTTCCAAATTAACATTAATTTGAAAACTACCACTAGAATTGACCATCTCTACTTGACAAAAGTTCAGTAGAGATGGTCACTTCCATGGCTGAAACTATCCACATGTTTTCAGTGAAGATGTATAGATGTTAAATCATAGTGGAGCACTTCCTGTATTACCACATGACATCACAAGGGGGAACAGGGTGTTTTCCATTTGAGAGAAGAACTTAGACTAAATTTGCAGCATGTGTGTGTTAAACATGTGTGAATGAAACAAAATACAACCCCAGGAATGTTTGTGATGAGGAAACAACATTATAACAGAACAGAAAATAGTGTAACATGGGCCCTATAAAAGATGCACTGTTTAACTTTTCTGGTGGAGGGTCCGTCAGTTACTTTTCTTCTTGGAGATGTTATTGCTTTGTCTGGAATGTTTCACAGTATGGCATAAAACTTTTCTATCTCCTTAGAGACCAAACAGGACCAAGTTACATGTCAGATCTGTGGAGAGGCAACCCCACTTACAGTCAGAATGCCTGTTTTTCTAGGTATTTTTGAGAATAATACCACCTGTAATTGAATAAATGTAAAGTAAAGCTGTTTAAAGTCATACTGTGGAATGTTCCAGACAGAGCAATGACATATCCATAGAAATAAGCTAAGTTACATCATTCACCTTTAACTTTGATGTAAACAGGAGATACATTGGTGTAGCCTACGCACTTGCCAGTCAACTGAAGAGTACCTAGTTTGTATCTTGCCTGTAGTGCATGGATTCTGGTGTGGTATCCCGGCTTACATAAAAGACATGACTGTGGTTATATAATTGTGGTGGATGCGTTTAATCTTTACATGAGTATCACTGTTTCTTATTTGAAGTGTTATTGGTAATTTACAAACCACCACAAGCTGCAGTTATGAGATGCTATGACCCATTTTCTAACCACTCTAAATTCACGCAAAATTCTTTGTGTCCAAAAGGCACATATTGTCTGTTTGTCTGCTATGATATCATTCTTCCAGGGGAGAAGACAAGCAAAGACTGTATAAATAGTATAAGAGATATGTGGGGGCAAGATACATTCCCCCTATTGATTACATTGTATTTTCAAAAGGAAACTCCAATGTTGAACCAGGTCATTCATATTACTAACTAGAACCTTGAACTTAATTTACAACAGAAATGTGTGTTCAGCAACTGTATACATACAATAGACAAATAAATCACAAACACAAGTAGTGAAATTTTGCTCTGAGCTAAAATGATCAGGTTCATAATCTCACTATCGCTGATGAATGGACAGCTTACTTTAAACATCTTTTATATTTTTTCTGTTGCTGCAGAGCTTTGAATTTCTTTCAAGATCAATAAAGTATCTATCTATCAATCTATCAAGACATAAAATAAACACAAGTCATCCAAAACCCACCAATAAGTATAATGACATTCCTGTACATTTCAGATTTGGAACATACCGCTAAGTGCCATTTTATACAAACAAAAGCTAAAATGCTTGCATCAACTTCACCTGGGTCTGCTGAAGTCAGACATGCTCCCCACTCCACAAAACTCAGCATCAAAACCATGATCATATGACAACCTTCTGTGATGCTGGGAGTATCCAAAAGGATGGGTATCATCTACCATGATCAAATCAAAAATATATTATCCAAGAAAGATATATGGCATTCTTTTAAAGTCAAAATAGCAAAGAGAAATCCAAAGGATGTTAAAGCTAATTCAGAATCAGTAGTGCGGTATCTTTCCATGAGAAGAAAGGGAACAGACTGATGCCCACAGAGAGGACGCAGGGAGGGGAAGTGTGACTGGCCAAAACTGGACACAGTTTGACCAATCAGGAGGAGCGAACGACTTGATTCATAATTACACTGTGTTTTAAAGGATGCCAGAAATGGTCCTCTTAGTCACCACTGATTATCACAGATATTGTTTTGGTTACAGAAGCACAAATGGATGGAAATAGAACATTGTTATATCAAAATGTATTCTCAATTCAACTTTTTTCTAGCTATGTTTCCTTTTATGCATTGCCAAGGCTCCTCTAACATGTCAGTTTTTGCTACATCCACAAATCTTCTTTTTGTTCTTCCTCTAATAATTGTTTTGGCTAGCCCTGTCTGGCCTATTCATTTTTTATTTATTTTTTTAATTTTTATTCAATTTATTTAAAGTTCCCATGCCAGGCAAAATTAACTCTTGTGAGCTTTAAACCTTCTTAGAATGTTGTTACCTCATTAAAAAATATACCCGGGGTTGTGTTTTGTTTCATTCACACGTGTTGCAGTAACTCTATGTTTTTAAGTTGTCTACAACTCAAAAAGCTCAAAATGTTGAGTTCAACCTTACGATGTCATCAGGTGGAGGCTTTCCAGGCAGTTCCAGGGCTGAAATTATCCAAATGATTTTACAGAAGGGGTAAGGACTTTAAAATTACTATGTAGCGTTTCCTATATTACCACGACATCACAAGGTAGAACAAAGTGTTTTCCATTTGAGAGTAACTCAACCTAAATATGCAGGGTTTGTGTGTTTAACATGTGAGAATGAAACAAAGCACAACTCTATTTTTACTATTTTTACTGTACATATCTGAACTATTTCAATGAAGTACCAAATATAATACATAATACCAAATTTAATGGTGCTTTATGCAACTTTTCTGGTGAAGGGTCAGACTATTTGCCACCTGCTTGTCGCCACACTGTGTTAAATATTTGCCTACAATTATAATGTGTGTTTTTACAACTCAAAACTATATTAATATATAGTTTCATTGTACGGCTCCTCTCCAAAGATCTGACCTGTTCCACTTATGTATGCATTGCTAACACCTACAATGTGAAATGTTATTGTATTCAGAGCTCAGAATGCTATAGTTTCACCTCATGACATCATTAGGTGCAAATCTATGAAGCTTGCCAATGTGTTTTTAAGAAGTTTCTGAATGTAAGAGTTAGCGGCGATTGTTTTTAATATCATTTGAACGTCTTCACCAATCAGTACATCAACAGAAAGCTTGTCACTGAGCACATATGTTATTTTGTTTTGCCATACATTATTTATTTTAATCTAATCATTAGATCTAATCTAATCTAATCTATCATGTTTCTAATCTAAACATGTAAAATACCAGTTCTACAATAAGGTTATGTTGTTAAAAAAACTTAAATAATACAGTACATGGGACCTCTAGGAAACTTCAAGTAAACTAACATAAACAGACTTTACTGTAGCACAAGCTAAACATACATTTTAATGGTAATGGAAAAACATGACACTGGCACTACAGCTACGTCACTCCAGCGCCCTTTGACCCCTCGGATCCATCCATCCATCCATCATTGCCACCAAACTGGGCACCATGGGAACATCTGTCAGAATGGTCCGTCGCCGTGGAAACCTAGTGGCGTCAGGCTCCGAGTGACAGCGGGCGTCGAGGTACCAGCTGTTCCCGCTCTGCTGCTGTCACAGAGGAGTCAGACAGGAAGGAGGAGAGGCAATGTGCAGCTATTTTAACAGCAAAAGCCTGGATAAAAATACTTGAAATACTCAACACTGGCTCAACACTGGGGGATAGAGAACATGTTACCACGTGTTGGTGGTTGAAATGTTCTTGGGCAAGACACTTTACATAGCTTGCTTAAAGATGCATCATGTAAATTTTTTGATGTAGGTTGTGCTTTGTCTGGAATGTTCCACAGAATAAAAATAAACTTATCTATTAATTCAGCTGCAAGAGTTACTATAGCCACACAAAAACTTTGCACTTTTGCTGTAATCTGACCT